GGTGGTTTACCGCTGCACGTGTTTAGGAAGGGGGGAAAGAAGACGCGGGCGTGAGTGGCCAATTTCACTCGTTGCTATCTTACTTGTGTGATGCAGTCAGCGTCCTGATTGTACTCGTACGTTTCGTAAGTGAGACTAAGCTTATCGAATCGTAGTTTAAAAATAACTTTTTTTTTTTATTTTGCAAACGCGAGTAGCCTAACCCTTCCTACTCGCACAGCGGGGGAAAATTGCTATTTTACTGCAAAGAAAGTCGTTTTAGGTTTAAACACAGAAGATAGTATTTGCTCTTTATCTTTAAACGAAGAAACCTGACGATTATGCGTCTATCTTTTCCAGTAACAAACTTTCCCAGGCGGTGAGCTCGTTCAATATTGTCGACTGCAATGGTAATCTCAAATTTTTACGCTCAAACGTTTACGATTTTTTATTAAGAGGCGTTGGAGATTTCGTTGGAGCCATCAGAAAAACCGAAAAACAATAAATTGCATCGCCTTAGTCTGTTTTCTGTGTCGTCACATCGGGTTATAACATCAGTGAGCTTTTTGGGAACGACGGAAAGGGATTCACTTGAAACACCCTCCTTTTGAAAGTCAGATGCGTTACTAGATTTGTTTCCAGCGCCACCACCCTTGAGTGCAGCTCCTGCATCCTTTCGTCCGTCGTCTTTTGTTTCTCTCTGAGTTCTTTTATTTCTTGGAGCATACTAATTTGACCTTGCTCTATCCTTTGAACCGTGACAAGTATACCGTTGCCAAGATGACGTCAGATTTTAAAATGGAGGCACATCCGGCCCCGGATTTGCCTCCACGTCGCCGCACACGAGCAACATAATACCCCTCAGTCCCACGGGTAACCAGCCCTCACCCAAAAAAAAAAAACGGGCACGCCGGGAAGGTTCAAGCCAGTGGTCGTGGCACGACACTGCTAACAGACAGTAGTCATTTGTACGATATCAAGAGGCAAACTCCAAATATATACTGTACCTCCAAAAATGTGCAAATACATAAAGTATTGAATCACGAATAGAACCTGATTTTTGTTTGCTACGCAGAACTTTCCTTGGCTTTCATTCGGGGTACAAACTGAAGTAAATGAAAGCGAATTCCGAAGGCGCCTCTGTGTGGTGCAAGCGAGCCGCCGCACGTCCAAATGGATGCATCGAATGATTTCATAAGCGCCTGAACTTTGTCATTCAGTTTCCCAGAGAAAAAGACTGTCGCGATTCTGTCCGCGGCACAATAAGTAAAATGTGCGCGGACCGATATTTTCCCTCACTTGCATCGCGCCGTATATCAGCACATTCGAGGACGCAACCGCTTCCACGTGGCTATACGGAGTATTCACTGGACGCCATATTTGAGGGTGCTCTTTAAAGCGCATGCTCAGAGCAAGCTCACATCAATAGGCTTCTAAGACCGGCAATCTCGATGGTGTGGAATGCACACTGAAAAAGAACTGTGGAAGCTCGCCGTCAGCACGCGCTCAGCAGTCGCGCACACAGCTATGGCCGCCAGTGAAGTACTCTCTATAGAGACACCGCCACACCCATTTCGCGCTTACGCCGTCTCCGAGCCACACTTGTACATACGACACTGACCGCATGCGATCAAATTACTTGTTATCGAGTACTTTCGTGAATAAAATTTGTAACAATTTGATCCCATTTATTAGTAACTAATCGCAACTAATCGACTAAGACTTGCATCTTAGTCACCCTTTTCGTGAGTCAGCTTTTTGCGAGCACTTCACAAACAATAATTGTCTTCCTTTTTTTTTTTTTTTGCTTGCTTGTAGTATTTTAGCAGGACGCATCTTATCTCAAGCAGAATTTTTTACAAATAAAGCATAATGGTGGCTGACAAAGACTTGAGATTTTGGGTTGAGGAGAGAGTGAAACTCATGAGTGGGGTCATCATGTGGCTTAGTTTTCTGCCCTTCGCTGCCCGTGGCATCAGCGGACTTCTATTTGGAGAACACCGGAGTAAACTCCAATCGGTCCGTGCTCCGGGCGTCGGTCCGTGCGTGCACGCAGCAAACGTGCATTGATATTTTCTTGTTTTAACCGACGTTCCAATTAGCTGTTTTTATGAATGTCCTGGAGCTTTTTTTTTTTTATTACTTATATTTATATATCGAAAACATTTTATTATTCACTAACGCCTCAACCGAGGCTCGACCTGTTCAAACCCAAAGAAATAAGATTATCAAGCCAAACCTTATTTATTATATAATTATCACCTTACTGGTACCAACTACGTTTTGCTATTGTCTGGCAGTATATGCCGGCTGAAACGACGAAGCTTTGCTCAAGCTTCGAGGTAAATAGTACTTCCATTGCTTCGCTGAAGAAGCTCAATGCAGAGCATAAAGCATTCGTGAGGAACGATGTGGCACTCCCATCCAGTGTCTCAGTTGAAAGCGTGTTCAGCGTAGCAGCCGACATCTTCAGTAAGAACTAACGCAAATCGTCTGACAAGATTTTTGAGAGCCAGCTGTTGCTCGAAATACTCAAGATCAATAAATGGAACAGGTGGCAACAATAAGAACTTGAATAACCCTCTTCCCTTTGTTTCTTACTTGAAAACAATAATGTTGAAAGTAACGCCACGAAAGTAACGGATTACTCTTGGAGGTAAAGGTCACTTGCTTTTATTATAGGGTAATTCTAATTGCAGTTAATTACAATTTAGTCTTGAGTAATTGTAAATGTAATTCTTTACTATTTTTCAGTAACGCGTACAAGTCTGCATTAGGCTGCGTTTCGCGAAGTTCTTGGCTTCGATTCCTGATCACTGCTCCAATTAATGTTAATTATATAAATTTACGGGGCACTTTCGTAGTCTTACGCAGTCTCCAAAGAGGAAACATTCGAAAATATGTGGATGAATGAACGTACCGCACTCATCGAATGGATACAAAAGTTACCGAGCCGGCGAAAGCGAAATAGAAATTGTTTGGTGGCGCCGGTCGGGCCTCAACCGTGGTTAACATGTGTTCGAATCATGGCGCCACCAAAGATTTTTTATTTCGACGGCTCGTGACCTTTGTTTCCATTCGATCATAGGGTTCATTCACCTGCATATTTTCAAATCCTGGTCTAATTTCAAGTGCTTCTCTGCAGTTCTCACAAAACTTAAACGGAACACGCGAACCGTGAGCTTTCTCATGACGGAGCTATCCTGGAAGAAGTCGAACAGCCCCTTGACGTAGCACTTGGGGTTGGTTTGCGTTCTTCGGCTCCTGCCAAGCTAGCGCTACCATAAGAAAAGACACAGTTCGCGTGCTTCATATGAGTATGGCGTGTGCTGTACATACAATGGTTTTCTCATGTTGCCATGCTAGCCAAGCCGGTTGTGCTGACGTGCCCCGTCGTGGGGTATGCCCGGAAGCTCGGACGGACCAGCTTATTCAAAGTTCAGGGGAGTTCCGCTCTCGGCAGCAGACGTAGAGCGATCTGTGGTGTCGGCACAACTCGTGCCCGCGCGCATCCGCCCGCTCCTACACGCTGAGACTACGCAGGGACTACATCCACGGACAAGAAGGACAAGCTGGACACGCGGGACCCCGGCGGAGGTGGCGGCGGCGGGAACAGCAGCGGCCCTGGTCCCGGAGGTATCCTCTGGGACCGCACCCTGAGCGAGCTCAAGCTCGAGTACATGGACCTGGACGAGTTCCTCAGCGAGAACGGCGTGGCCGGCCGAGGTCCCGCGCTGTCGCCCCGGCACAACCCGTTCCGGCAGGCGCCGGGCGTCATGACGGACACGTCCCAACCGCAGCTCCAGGAAGCCGCCATCCAGGAGGAGGCGGACTTGGCCGCCGCCAACGGTACGTGCACGCGTCGGATTCGCACGAGCCCGGGACGGAAAGATCCTGTGGAGTAATAGGTCGATAGGCCAATTTCAGAATTCTGGTTGTTTTATGAACGTCACATCGCCTGGTCTACGGAGGGGAGGAGGGACGCGAGGCTTATGGCGAATTTGGGTTTTCTTTCTGCGGAGATTTTGAGCGCTCTTACAAGAACGCGCGAGATCGGGCGGTGGAAAGGAAGTGCAGTGGTCTAATTAGCTGAGGGCGGCCCTCCCTCTTAAGGTATATTCACACGATGCATCTTGTTGGCGAATCTTGTATCGCGAAACTAGGTTCCGGTAAACAGATTCCCCGTCTGAACGCGACCGAAAAAGTGGCGCGCATCCGAAAAAAGTGGCGCGTGTCCCTCGCTTCTGGAGCACTTTCTCACTGAAACCTCACCTTGGCCTGTCAATCACCCGAAGGAGAAACGCGGACGCTGCCAATGGCCGCTGAACTTCGCTATGACGTCTGACCTTCGAGGAGGAGCGAGCTTTTGGAGGAGTATAATGTTTGGCCGATTCCATATCCGAGCCCAAGCCAAAAGAAAACAAACAAACATGGCGAGCGACAAGCGGAGGAGTGGTGCATACGGGCGATGTGTCTTGGTCCAACTCGGTTGCAACTTGCAGGTGTGTGAACGGCGCCTTAGCAGTACTGGTTGGTGGCGCGGTGCAGGTTCATCAGCAGTCGCGACGAGTGCTAGCACCGCATATCATGATGACTGGGGATAACTTTCTTTATTAGAGGTGCAAAAAATGTCCGAAATGTTTCGATATCATCTGCCTTTGACGTTCACGGTCTTTCCCGGGTTTGGCACGACTAGTAAACCCAGCGAGCCGAATCTGACGAAGTTTATTGAGTGGTATTAATAAAACAGACAGTCTCTTCACACTGTGCGTACTTCATATCATTTTGATGTGAAACGCTTGGTATTCCCGGCGCAGATGACAAGTTTTGGCGCAATTCTCGTGAGTCAATACGTCACAGGTTTCGCGCGTCAAACTCCACGTGTGAACAGGCCGATTTCGCGAAATCTTGGTTTCGCTAAACTGTGGCGCGTTGAAAAGGTGCATCGTGTGAATAAGCCTTGGAGCGCTCCCTAGCACACCGTCTCTGACTGTCGTAGTGCAGAGCGGCGCAAGCGTCACGTGGTACTTGGACGGGATCACGCGGTTTTGTTGATCATGGCCGGCAGTGGTCTACGGTGTGCGGGGTCCGGCATGACGGCGATGGATATCTGGTTCAACAAAGTGCTTGAGTGTCTGACGGTGCGAGAATTACAACGGACGGGACGACATTCGGGGCTTCTGACCGTGACTGGAAAACGCGACGATGAAAGTATTTCCAGTGCTTCTACGAGATCGTTCATCTCAAGGAGGTGAACCCACTAAGCCTAACCGACAAAGAAACAGCTCGCAGAGCTCGTCGCTCTTTTACCGGGTTTTGTGGGCGCTTCGAGGTATGTTCAGGTTTGGTAAAAGTGCGTTTAAAGGTTTGCGTTATAAAATAAAGGGAGAGCCAGTTTTAATGAACTGTTATTAGTGTCGCATTGCGATACGTACGATGTCCTCTCTGTGATGCACGATGTTCTGCCGTGAGAAAAATGCGGTTTATTATCCATTCGATATCTGCCTGCTCTGCCCTACGCATTACCGCTATCGTAACGCGTTCAATGTCGAGAACTTGACTAGATAACAACTATTTTTATAGGTTGGCTTTCGTTCGTTCAACAAAAAATAGTTAGCATGTTGCTGTTTTTTTTTTTTTTTTTGCGTAGTTTGCCACAGCTGTAATTTCATGACGTCGCGAGCGTAAATTTTGCTCTATCGTCCATCGTGCGCTGTAAAATATTTTTGTAACCCACAGCAATGTCAAGAAGTTTTATTGCCGTGACTGGTCCGAGAATGTCAGAGCGCTCCGAGTCCAAAAGTTGTGATCGGCTGAAAAGGATTTTCAGTAGCTCTGGCGGCGAGGAGGTGGCGCACTGTTGAATCTGGGTCAGAGAAGAGAGGCGACCACCTGAATTCACCATCAGCCAAGCACGCTTCGGTGAATCACGTGCTAGCCTTTAGCCGTCTCCCAGATTCCCACAAGGGCGCCGCCATCTTGAATGCCGTCACTTCTGGAGTGGGCGGAAACGCTGTTTCGCCGTCGCCACGCCGATAGAAGACATTTAGGACATAAGCGTAACCGTCACCCATACTCGTTTTGCCTCCCCTCTATATTTCTTTTTACTATTTACAAGTTGAAATGTTTTATTACTTTTGCGTCGCTCATGCCGGATACGCCAGTGGGGTGGCTGGGGAGCAGACGCTTGTTCTCGTCCCCAGCCGCCTGGCAGGCATATCAGGTATGGGCGACGAAAATTTAGTAAGACATCTCAACCTGCAAATAGTAAAAAAATAAAGGCGAGACAAAACGAGAATAAGTGACGGTTACGCTTATATCCTAAATGTATTCTATTGGCATGGCGACGGCAAAGCAATGTTTTCGCTCGTAGTGGAGGTGACGTTATTTCAAGATGGCGACGCCCTTGTGAAATAGTTCTACACAGGAGTACAATCTGAAGCAGGCTTAAGGCTTTACACGGCCTGTTCATGGCGTCATCCAAAGAGCCCTCCGGTGGCCACAAGATAAGAGGGGGGGGAGGAGATCCCCTCTTACCAGGATTCCTTTTGTGTCCCCCAGATTTGCCTAAACGTCGCTATTCTCCTCCAAGAAGATTGCAGATTAACCCGTCACTCGAAGTTCAAACAAAAGCAGCTTCCTTCCCTCTCTCTTTCATAGTGGTCGAAAGTATGCGATGTGACGTCAGGGCGTTTGGAAGTCCGGTCTCAGGGCGCCGCCATCTTGTTCGGTTGGGGTGCGCTTAAACGCATCATAACCCGATTACGAAGCCTTGGTAGGGCGTCGTAATCGGATTATGGCCGCTCCCAAGCTCACCCCAGAGAGCAAGATGGCGGCGCCCTGAGGCCGGACTTGCAAGTGTGACCTTACGTCCGGCCGCAACGGATGCTAAGAGCCATCGGAGCCAAACCAAGGCCGTGTGAGTTTTGCGCGACTTTGGAGAGCAGGCGTCCTCACGCGCGAAAAGCGTAGTCAAATGCTACGTTGCATTCGCTGTGGTCAAACGTACGGTGAAACCAGTCAGGCGTGTTTAGCTAAGCCTCGCCCCTACCTCACTCCGAAATTGGCCCAAAGACTTCCTCCACAATGTTTTCCAAACATACGCCCGGATTGAGTGCGTGGAGCAGCGATGTGCCTTCTGTTTTCGCCTACGACGAGAGCAGAGCCGTTTACATTCAGAGAGTTCGGCCGATGGGCGGAGCTTGTGGCCCACTAGAACCAGCAGATTTCGCTTTAGCACAAAATGGCGTTACGTCTTTCTCTACTATATTTCAGATAACCAGCATAGTATTCTTATGAATCAACGCCACAAAATGGCGGACGAAAGTAGTCGTCCCCCGGTTGTCACACTATACGTTGCTGCGGTTGCCAGGCTGTCAAAATCTATTTCAGAGAGCCAAACTCTCGCAGTATAAAAGGTTCCGGACGAGAGAACACGCTGGCGCCATCTAGCGAACACACGCACTTCACGGATATTCCCCAATTTTGTTTGTGCATCATTTTTTCACCGTCGGCTTGGAAGACTTTAGACGATTCGCAACAAGGAACAGTTGCATGATAATTCATTGGGGAGCTCATTGCTGTTTGAAGCTAAAACGGGGATGCTAAGAACGAAAACTTATAGGGCTAAATTCCAGGATATAGACACTCTATGTGACATATGCAAACGCGAAAGGGAAACTACTGAACATCTAATTTTAAGGTGCACGGGTATTCGTCCCACTTTTTTGGGGGAGGGGGGCGGAGCAATGGGGGGGGGGGGGGGAGGGATGACTACGGATTCGGAGGGGGCACTGGGATTCGCAGACGTGGACGAATGGATAGGGAAAGAATTGCAGTAACTAAGAGGAGATTGGAAGATTGGTGCAAAAGACCTAGGGAGGGGTAAAAATACGAATAAAAATAAGCAATCGAAACACTTTAAAGGGGGGGGGGGGGGGTTGTGTTAGAAAATAATTTATAGAAATTTAAAAAAAGGAGGGATGACAAAATGTTAGGCTAGGTAACGCAAGCTGCCGCCCGTTACTAGGGGCATAGCCATTACCATCCATCCATCCGTCTATCCTTTGCAGAAGGTCAACCAAATCGTAATGAACACTACTTGTTCTTTGTTCACAAAAAATATGGGGTCCGTTTTGTCCCGCGTGGCGCAAATTCGTTGAGTATCCACAGACTGCTCGGATGCACGAAAATGTTGAGATTGCTGTATAATATACGTCACGATACCTTCCTCGCACCGAACGCGACGGGAAGGATCGGGTTTCAGTGCTATATTGAAAGCTCTGTTGTGGCTACTTGGCGCATCAATATGAAATATGATTTTGATATTCGCATTTCGGGAGGCCAAAAAAACATGCTTTAAGTGTTGTTTTTCCTCAAACACAGAAACGCTTCAATTTCCCTTTAAAGCGCGGTCCAGCTACAGCTGGTCAATGTGATTTTTAACCCTTTCCCTATACGCAAATACAAAATATAAACGAAAAAAAAACAGGGTAGCGGCAAGTGGTGCACGCAACTTGTTACAATGTCACAGTCTATCAAATAAACGTACCAAAATTTCATTTTGCAAGTATTACTGCCACGTATACGTGGTCAATCAGCATTCACCAAGTTCTGATGTTTTACATCTTTTGGCGTATGTTTAAACGACGCGCGTCGTGCAGCATTCCACCCTGGAGAAGTGTTTTACATCTTAGCACCCCGCTACGAAACGACATGCACTCATGCAAAGAATCGCGCTGTCTACTCCGAGGCCGTGAGAAGCGCACTTAACGAATCTACGTAATTGAACCGCACCGAGCCCAAGAACAACGAGAAATGCTTCAAAACTTCTGAGTACCGAGTCATGCTCGATACAAAGAGCCTATGAAATTACGCGATACCCGAAACTTTGGAAAATTCACGCAAGCTTACCGTGACAATCCGGCGGTGTAGTGAGGCCTGAACTTTTTGTTTTTGTATACTGACATGAGCTCTTGACGCAATGTTGGCGGAAAGCCCTCCCATTTTTATGGAATAAAGCAGCATGGTTACAGGGGAAGCACTTAGGCGCAAATGGCGTATAGTCATATCACTGCAGCTACGCCTCGATTGCCACGTGCACATAAGAACGCCCGAGCTCAGAGTTGCACTTCCTTACATCCCGTCAACAGGGCTCAAAGGTACTACGAGGAAAAACAACCGAACATAAAGTGGCAATCTGGCGTACAAAAGAAATACGGCATTCCAGTTTGTTTTTCATGGCGCTACTCCATAAGCAATCCAGACATCCCGACTTGCCCACACCCATTACCCCATGAACATTTATTGTGTTCATCCTCATAAACATTTATGTTTATTCCCAACACCCCTGTCTCCCCAACAGCCGAAGGAGCCTGTTACTCGATGCAGTCCTTGGCCGAACACTTTCGAGGCGACGACTCCGGCCGACGTCCGGCCGAAGCCCTCACGGGCCGACGGCCCAGCTCCCCGAGCACGGCAGCCGTCGTCCCCATTGACTGCGGCTTCACCAAGACCGACCTGGCGCTGGCAACCATACCGGGACAAGACGACTTCGACCCGAGCCACCACCCCTTCTCCGAAGACGAGCTCAAGCCCCAGCCCATCGTGAAGAAGTCCCGCAAGCAGTTCGTCCCCAACGAGCTCAAGGACGACAAGTACTGGGCCCGCCGTCAGAAGAACAACATCGCGGCCAAGCGGTCCCGCGAAGTGCGCAGGGTCAAGGAGAACCAGATCGTCCTCAGAGCATCGTACCTCGAGAAAGAGAACATCGCGCTACGGGAGGAAGTTCACAAGCTGCAGCAGGAGAACGACATGCTCCGCAAGAGACTGCACGAGTACGAGCCCTGACCAATGCCCGATCCGACGGCCGGGGCCCAGGGGTCGTCTTGGGGCTACGCGTGTCCGCCGGCAGAAGGCGGTTGGCACCGCTACGCGGACGTGGGGGTCCAATGGACGGGCGAGAGTGCAGACGCGAGGTGCACGAACGGGTACGGTTGATCCGGAGGACGAGCAGCAACGCAGATGTGAACCGTCTGGCATTCTGGCCACCCGCCCACAACGATTGGGCGTGATGTTCTGCAGCGATCGAGAGGACATCAAGTGCAGACAATGGTGTAGATATATCCAAAGTAAGTGTTCACGAGCCCCTTTCCCGAATCGTCGGCGGGCAGATGTATACGTGGACTCTCCACGATGAACTTGAGTCAACCTTTAATGCGATGGGAAGTTACGTATAAATAATAAAAATTAAAAAAAAACTTTGGCGACGTAGTTGCTAAGTGGATGTTAGTCTGAAAGGAGCAGTTTTTCTGTGGAATGGTCTCGTGTTACGGCGTCAGGCCCCAATGTGTGGCAGTTAACGATTGGCCACTGCTGCAAATGTGCAAGGGTAAACGGTGCACGAAGACTTTCGCCAGCTTTGCTTTTGAGTGTGATCGACTGCGTGGCAACGGCTTGTGACCACTTACAGAGGGAGAGCGTACTGGCCCCATTAATCGCGTAGCCCTGGAAGATCTTCCGATCTGCAAATATCTTATGCACCATTCCTTCACCGTGTGCTTGACATAATTCTTGCAACGCTATGAGTGACCATTGCTCAGATAGTGCCGCAGAGGACTATACTCGGCATCAACGTTTTTTGTGCTACGTTGTAAAGGCTAGCGCAGCTCCGCAGTGCTCCAACTCTATCAAAGCTGTAGTTGCGCGAGCGGATGCAAATGAGACGCAAGGCGAAGCTCTCGCAAAAGTGCAGGGTTGCAGACTGCAGCACCGTGGAACCTCTGATGATGTAGCAGAAAATAGTTCGTGCTGAGTATACGGGCATAAACTGAGGAAAAAGAGGAAATGAGAGCGAAACTAGCTGCCTTGTTGTTTGAACGCCAGCATTCGAACAGCGAGTATGGACAAAGGCAGCCCTATTTGACGCCTTCCCACTAACCATTCCAACCAGAGCTTGGTGCTTTAATGTCCCCACACGCTCTCACCTCCTTTTCTCCCTCAGTTTCTATCCATGCAGCAGCAGCGATGTGATCGGTCAGAGTCATTTTGGAGCACCTTTTCGAGTAGCAAAAAGAACGTTTGGAGCATAAGCACAGATCATTTGTATTCGCACCAGTGCAAATATCACGTTAATATTATATAGTGTTTCTCTACTTTGCCTTCCTGCTTCTTTGCAACCTTTTGATGACATCAACAGTATGGCAGGCTTGATTCCGTACCTAGCAGCTTAATACCTTAATACAGAAGACACAGTAACAATGGTTTTTTACTTATCCGTTTATTTATTTATCAATACTGTCAGCCCAATGCCGCCCAAAGAAGGAGAAAATGATCAAAGTACAATGCACATTTTTTTCACTGAAATACCACGACAGTTAGCGTACATATACTTTTTTTACACAATATACTCAGCTGCACACACCCAAAATTTGCGTTTTTCAAAATTTGATAAAGCCATGCTTGGTTTATAACATTACACATATTTATAGGTTGGTACCTAAACAATACACTATATAGCAAAATGTCTATACTGTGCCAAAACAACTAGGCACCGAAGAAGAATATCTAGAAAGTTTGCAAAAGCTGAAAATGAATTAAAGTCAACAACGTCACTGGGTAGCTGGTTTCATAAATTTATTGTATTCAAGAAAAAATAATTTTTAAGTGTATTTATTCGAGCAGTACCAGGAGTCACAATTTCTGAATGATGGAATCGGTCAGAGTAGAAGACTCTTTGTTTTAGGTATTTACAGTCATACATTTTTAAGAGTTTACTATAAATCTAAAAAAAAAAAAAAACTTAACGCGCCCGTATTATCTTCTATTTATTAGCGGTTGTAAATTTGCTCAGGTTTTAAGTCCCGTGACCGACGTTGATCGCATGAAGTATGATCAAATTCATCCGCGCCGCCATGCAGTGATTGGACATCATCAAGCTCTTTAACAAGGTTTACCTGCCAGAAATCCAAAGCTTTGGACGCGTAACCTAGGATAGGTCTAATTATAGTTCTTTATGCTAGAAGTTGAACCGAGGGTGGAGCTCTTCCAAGCGCTCTAAGAGAGCACAATTTGTTCGTTGCTTGCTTTCCGGTGTACTCCTCACGGCGGTTCCATTTTAAATCGCTTCAAATTATTACACAAAGGGATTTATAGCTGCCGGCTTTTCCTAGTGTGACTCCATCAGCCTCGTAATTAAAATTTCGACTATTTTTCTTTGTTGCAATTTTCATATACTGAGTTTTGTTGATGTTAAGCAGCGTGTTATATTCACAACACCACAGCGCCACACCAGATAGCACGTTCTTTAGCTTTATTTGGTCCTGAATTGATAAAACGGTGCTATAAATTAAGCAGTCACCAGCGAACACTCGTATTTTCACAGGGCCGTTAGCAACAGGTCCGAACAAACTATTGACGTAAACTAAAAAAAGCCAAGGGGCCCAAAGCAGAACCTTGTGGCACCCCGAAGTATACATCAAGCATCCCTGAAGGCGTACCAATGACATCCACGAAATACTGACGATTTGTGAGATATCCGTTAATCCATCTGATTAGACATCAAGGAACACCAAGGTGTATTAATACTTTCACTAGTCAACGATCAGGTACTCTGTCGAAGGCATTCGACAGGACAATGAACACGTACTGCATCCACCTGCTTACGACCATTCACTAGCTGCATATTTCATGATAAGATTCAATTAGCTGAGTCACTGTTGACAAAAGGCTCCACGAAAACAATGTTGGTTGTGGTCTAGCACGACATTTTCCATTATGAAAGAAACGAGTTGTTTGTTTACATTGTGTTCCAGTAAGTTGCAAGATGTGCAGGTAAGTGAAATGGGGCGATGGTTTTGAACTGCGTCATATCTTCCGCTTTTTTCTTTTTTTTTTTACGGGAACAACTCTAGCCACCACTAGCCAGTCATGCGGCAATACTGCACCTTTGATTGAGCTAGAAAATATATACAGGGAGTCACAAAAGAAAATTTGCGGGTCTTTTTTTAACCGCAAAAATAAACTAGGCATTGCCGAACGCTCATTCTCCGTCCGAAGGTAGCTCTAGAGGTCACAACCAGATGCCAAAGTTTCAGCCCGATCCGATAACTTAATCAAAAGTTATAAGTGATTTTCTGAAAATTTCAATGTGAAAATATACTCATACAGGCAACTTTCCTGCTACCATACAAACTAATCTTACAAAGAATAAAACATGCCTGCGTACGTGCACGAGCTCTGTCATTAATTCACGAAGAAGCTACATTTATGTAAAGCAACCCTGTTCCACGAGCACTTCAAAGGCTTTCAGACCCAGGGCCTTTAAAACATCTGCGAACCAGCGCATGCAGAGTGGCACGCGCAGGGAAAGTGTTTTGGTGCAAATGGCGCAGATCACATCACCGATAAAGTATCAAAATTATGCTGCCCTTAGGTCTTCAAGGAAGGGAGGCAGTAGTGATTAAGGCCTGGTGAAATGCTTCAAGCCTGGTAGTCACTTCATCAGTCTTTTAACTAAAGCCCCTTGATAATATTCACTCTTCGCATTTATTACAAATGCCAGTCAACCTGCAGTCTTCTGCAAATGCGCAAGTCACGTGCCACGAGCGGGTGATCCGCTGTTACGCCTCATTCACACTGGCGGTTGAACCGCAATCGCGAAGCGGTTACGAACGCGGTTGCTTAAAGAATCAGTGCGGTTTCACGCGCATTTGATGATGAAAATGCGCGGACCCGCTTCACGGTTGCGATTCGAGCTCCAGTGTGAATTAAAGTGATGCTGAATTAGGCTGAACCAAACATTGCAGTGTCTATAATAAGTGTCGCACGATCTCTTTACGAGCCAGCGGCCGCCGCGGTGTGTGCGAGCACACGCTACGAAATTGACGTCACAGTCCCCCATTCACGCTTAAGATGACAGTGAAATAGGTGGACTCCAGGGAAAGATTTAATAATGACAAGCTTTTCATCTCCACAGTAGGGTCTCCTCTAAAAGGTAAGCGATCAATTGGTCTAACAACCACGTAGCTTTCACTTGTGGAGATGAAAAGCCTGTCTTTATTCTCCCTTGGCCCGAAGCCTATAGGAAGTATTCACTGGCGGCCATAGCTGTGTGCGCGACTGCTGAGCGCGTACTGATGGCAAGCTTCCAAAGTTCTTTTGTAACGTGCATTCTGCACCCTCAAGATTGCCGGTCTTAACAGCCTATTGATGTGGGCTCGTTCTGAGCATGCGCTCTAAACAGCACCCACAAATATGGCGCCCAGTGAACCAGTGAATACTCCTTATACATTTCACTCATTTCACTGTCATTGTAAGCGCGAATGGAGGACTATGACGTCAATTTTGTTGCGTGTGCTCGCACGCACCGGCGGCTGCTGGCTCGTGGAAAGACCGTGCGCCACCTATTGTGGACACTAAATTGTTTGGTTCAGTACCCCTTTAAGCCAAGAGTACAGCGAAAGCTACAAGCGCGAGATAGCCCCCGCTACTGGCTTTGACACGTGTTTTTTTAGGGCGAGTGATTGTTCTGCGGCAGAGCGCTTCAAAGCAACGACCTCGAGCATAGCCTCCTCCATACTGACAAAGCCTGGCAGATCGCCACGAGAAGCGGCCGCCGAAATTGAATAGGTAGAGCGGCAGACAACAGATGAGGGGTATGTATGTATGTATGTATGTATTTATGCGGCGCTTGCTCTTTGCAACGAGCGTCTACAAAACAGACAGACACCTCCCCCCCCCCCCCCCCCCCCCCAGAAAAAAAAGGAGAAGAAATTGGAGTATTGTTGCTGCTGGAGTCACCGCACTGGCGCTCCTCGTAGTTAATGGGCTAAAACAGCTCGTCAGATCTCCCGAGACTCGTGCCGTTGAGAACTTCCTGAAGTCTCTCCTGAAGCTTGTCTGCCCGTCTTCTTTCCGTCTGGAACTGCCTCTTCAACTCCCTCACCGTAGACAATCCTCTCTTGTGCTGCATCCTGCACCCCTCGATGTTGTCCTGTGTTCTTGCTTCAGCTTCTTTGCTTTCTCTCGAAATCGCACTTCTGGTTGTTTGACATCTCCAGATGAATGGTGAGATCCTTTACGGCATCGTCCAGCTGCGCCTTGAGCTTGGTGCAGCCGTCCGAACGTTGCCTTGCTTTGCACTGCTCCAGGTCATCTTTGGACTCCTCAATGGCTTTCTGTAGCATGTCCACGCGTTCCTGCGCCTCAGCCTTGCGCTGAAGCACCTGATCCTTCATAGAGGGCAGCAGACGCTTGTATAGTGTCAGCGCCGCTTCGTTCTCTATCACCTTCGTCGCACGCTCCTGCTCAACAAGAAGTGCTTCGTTTGACAAG